CAACAATGTTTAAACAACTGATGTTTTGGTGATTTTCAGTGGATGTATGAAGTCTTCTCAAGCTCACACAGGTGTCCTAGCAGAAAAACCTCAGGTGGCCATGCACGAATATGAGGCCCATGAAGAGCAGCACAAGAATGGACAGACAGGAGAAGATGGCGCGCACGTATCCGGTTGCGGTGGATGCCGTAGGGCAGGTTCTGTATCCGATAGTCTGGTATGTGTGGCACGGGGGCATCTGATGCACCATGGCTTCTCCTTGTATAACTGTAACATATGCAGACACTCCTTGCATTAGGTGTGCAGGCACTCCAAGATTTTGGACTGAAATAGTTCATACTCCTCGTAGGGAGACGCCGGCACGTACCAATAAGTGATCCGATAGTGACTCATTAGATACTAGTACTTCTATAAGTACTAGTCCTTCTTTAGCTATTGAAATTTGCTATTCAAGGAGTTACTAGTATATTTTACAGTTTCCCTAGTACTAATTGAATAGACAGTGTGAATTCCATGTAACTTTACAGTAAGGTTCCATTTGTTAACATTAGTTAATACGAACTAACTGAAAATTACTTCTGAAGCATTTATTAATCTTAGTTAATGTTCATTTCAACATTTAGATATTAAAATCAAACCTTGTTTCCGATGATATCAGCCTAATGGACCTGAGCCAAGGAGAACACAATGAAAAGTTACGTTAAGTTAAGAACTAACTTTAACAAATACTGTGGCAAATGCAGTGTTCGAATGGGGGGGGGGGTCAATTGCTGTATTAAATTAGACCTGCTCATGTTACATCATATTTCTTTTTACGCGTTTTACAGCGTTGCGCATTATAACTAATCACATACGATTCTGTTGAGTTAATGAATGCAACGGCCAATCAGAAGCGCTCAGATGAGTCATCGCTGAAACGCTGGAGTTTTGTACGGTGCGCGCGCTCACTGAATGCATCTAATTTCTCAACGATAAGAAATAACAAATGTATTTATTTATTTATTTTTGAAGGGGGCTTTGACACAATTCGAACACTGGACAAATGTATTGCTCATTGTTATTTAATGCATAAACTAACGTTAACAAATAGTTTATAATCATTACACAAATATAAGCAATTGTAACTAGTGAGATAAAAATGTTACTAGTAGTGTAATTATACTGTAAAAAAAAGATTTAAAAAAAAAAAAACATTATAGAAGTTAGTCTACGTTTTGCAAGAAAATACTTTCAAAATTCCACGTTTAATTCAGTGTTACTTGACGTCCTTTATAATTATTTGTGAACTTTACCATTAATTTCTGAGTCAAAATTGTTTCAAATTAGCCTAATTTTTCCCCCAGTATACTGGGATTGATACTAGTTGGCACATCTAGCCAATACTAATAAATAGTATAACTCTTTAAAAGATACTGATAGTACTAGTAACATGAAAAGAAACTAATCGGTATTAAGAAATAATAGCTGAAATGGCTTGTCATACGATTCTGATCTTCTGTCACGCGTTTCTCCGGCTCGCATTAGTGCTGGCCGAGGAGCGGCCCGTCTCGTGCTCCGGTCGGTCTTTGAGCCAGTAGAGGAGCCACGTTACCATCGCCGACACCATGGCTAGGATGCTTGCCACCGACAGACAGAGGGGTCCCGTGGGCGAGGGCGGCCCGCCGTGGCTGTGTACGAAAATGAGGCCCATGAAGAGCAGCACTAGCATGGACAGTAAAGAGAAGATGACGCACACGCATCCGGTTGTCAACGCGAGCCGCCTACAGTTTTGGCAGCTCTCGTAGCGCGAGACCGAGTCTTGGGACAGCGTGGTCGTGGTGGACGGCGTCGCGTGACCAGCCATGGACGCCCCGGACGCGTCCTCCTCGCGCCTGAGCGCCACGAGCGCTGGGTGCATTGGTGGCCGGTGGGGCGGCAGAGCATCTTGAGGCACAGGGTCCGAATCGATGTACAGAGGGAAGTCTTCCGTGACCTTGGTGTTGTTAGGCAGGTTCTGGATCCGATAGTCCGGTACGGGCGTGCGGTGGCGGCACACGGGGCAGCTGATGCGCCACGGCCGCTCCTCGCACAACTGCAGCGAGTGCAGACACTCCTCGCAAAACGTGTGGAGACACTCCAAGATCTTGGGCGCCCGACGGTCGAGGTCGAAAAAGTTGTAGCAGATTTTGCATTCATATTCCTCATAGGGAAACGCCTTGGGTACCGGAACACCGGGAGGCTCCGGCCCGTTAGCTGCTGCTGCATCCGCCGCTGCCATGGCATCTCGCGCTGCCTCACATCCTCCACACAATGAACGCGAGCCAGTCACGCGGGCAGCCTTTTCTTCTCTTTATCCCGTCAGCGAACGCTGTTAAACCCGGACATTTTTGTGTCAGGCCTTTTTTTTTTTTAACGCTTATTGTAGTCTCCGTGCACGTTAATTAACCGTATCGTTCCGGTGATGTAATGCCGCCTGAAGGGCGACTTTAATTGCTCTCCTCCTGAACCGATCCGGAAAGATGCGGGACGCGGCGGGAATCACACCTCAAAGCATAAGACACGCGTCCTGGTCAAACAGCACGAGCCTTCGGCTAAACCATGCTGTTTACGTCAGTAGATTTAACTCCTTTTTTGCTGTCCAAACCTCTCTGTGGTTTCTTCCATGTATCATTCTGGCCATTTAACCGCGTTTATTCCCCATTGTGAGTCATCTACCTGTTTGACATTTCAACTGGCTCACGTTGTTGTCATGGAAACTAATAATCCAGAAACATAAGGCTTGCCTAACCTATATTTCAGCTTCATTCACAGACTTCCCAGACACCCTCCATTCAAATAAATAAACATGTTTATTATGTTTACATTTTTGTGACAACTAGTTGTAGCAGATTTTGCACTCGTATTCCTCGTAGGGAAACGCATTGGGTACCGGGAGACCGGGCGACTCCGGTCCGTTTGCTGCTGCATCCGCCGCTGCCATGGCATCTCGCGCCGCTTCACATCCTCGACACAATGGGCGCCAGCCACCTTTTCTTCTCTTTATCCTGTCAGCGAAAGCCGTTAAACCCGGACATTTTATGTGTCAAGCCTTTCTTAAAGCGCTTCTTTTAGTCTCCGTGCACTTTGAGTAAATAATTAACCGTATCGTTCCGGTGCGGGCGGGAGGTGATGTAATGCCGCCTTAAGGGCGACTTTAATCGCTCTCATCCAGAACCGATGGGCGGTTGCGAGCGCATCGAGCCCGGAAAGATGCGGGACGCGGGAATCACACCTCAATCAAAGCATCAGACACGGGTCAAACAGCGCGAGCCTTTCGGCTAAACGATGCCGTTTGCGTCAGTAGATTTAACTCCTTCTTTGCTGTCCAAACCTCTCTGTTTTTCCTTCCATGGATCATTCCCGACTCCATGGAATTGAAAGCTGGCCATGTCTACCTGTTTGACATTTCAACTAGCTCACGTTGTTGTCATGGAAACCAATAATCCAGAAACATAAGGCTTGCCTATTTCAGGTTCATTCACAGACTTCTCAGACACCCTCCATTCAAATAAATAAACATTTGTATTATGTTTATTTTGTATGTGACAACTAGCCCCGGTGTCCTTTTTGCGTTTTATATTGGGCAAAAAAAATTAAACTCACAATTAAAAAAAAAAAAGAGGAAGTTTTGTCACTTTTCTCCATATGCTAATAACTTCTGACATGAAAAACGGGCAGTTTAATAAGAAATCTTTTAAATGTTTCTTAATTTTTACTAATAAAACAAAACATTTAAATTAGTAATCTAATTATAGGTTTTTTCTTAATATTAATTTCCTGTTAGTCTTTTTGTAGTCTTTTGAACTAAAACTAACAAAAGCCATTTGCCAAATGACATCATCTTCCAGGACCAGGAAGTGCATTTTTGGTGGGAAAACAACACCACAAACACCAGGGCCCCAAATATGATTGGACTTCAGTTATCAGATTGGATCAAATCTTGAAAATGATTCTAATCTGTTCAGATTAGATTATGTAATCCAGTCTTGGTTTTGATCTGGATCAAACCATCAGTAGTGTAAATTGGGACACTTTTTGCCATTGAGATTGCTAGGAAAAAATGGCCAAATTAACCCCTGTGGGAAGATTAAAAACCTTTTGGTATGGTTGGGATACATTTGATACAAAACATCAGGAATATTCAGAAAAAGAGGGGATTTAGATTGGATTTCAGGAACAAAATAAAACTTCGAAATTGGTCATATAGGCTAATACAATGTTTGTATCATGCAGTGCATACAGTTATAAAATAGATGTAGAAGAAAAGTATTCTTTTAAGACATTTTAAGAGATTCAAAACTGATTCATTCTGATCCAGATTACATTTTTAGAGTTTTAGCAAGGGATTTGGCAATTTCTGTTGTTTTGTGATTTGGTTAATTTGTCTCACTCTTAAACGCTACATCTCATTAGATAATATTACATAAAAAGTGTTATTATCATAAGAAAAGTATTCTTTTAAGACATTTTAAGAGATTCAAAACGAAGGGGGATGATCATTCTGATCCAGATTACATTTTTAGAGTTTTAGCAAGGGATTTGGCAATTTCTGTTGTTTTGTGATTTGGTTAATTTGTCTCACTCTTAAACTCTACATCTCATTAGATAATATTACATAAAAAGTGTTATTATCATATAAAATCGAAATGTTGACACCTTCATTACTGTCAATCACTAATTCTTCATTTTCTGTTATAAATACAGTACTCAAATAAGATCGAAGCCTGAGCTTTATCAGAACATATTTATAATAAAATTACTTTCAGATATAGAAATATACGTAATTAAATGACTATAATAACACTAGAATATTCTTTGTTTTTTTAAGTCACGGAGTCAAAGGTACTGCATGGCAGGAATGAGCCACCTGTGACAGGTACGATAAGCAGGTAATTTTCCGTGCGTAAACATGTCAGCCAATCAAAACAGCCATAAGCTTCTACGTCAGCACTCTTCCACGCTCTGCCACCTGCAGCTGTAAGACACACCTGTGGACGCGGGCTGGGCGCGGAAGCTCAAAATGTGGGGGTTCATCTCGTACCTGAACAGCCCCGAGCTGGTGGCCAGCTTCCAGCGGTGCTGCGGCCTGGTTCCGAGAGAGACGTGCTCGTATGGTAGTCGAAACGGACTCGTACACTCGAATGGATCCGGTAAGGACGTTCCGGTCACGATCCACCGGCGCAAAGCGGAGCAGGTGGCGAACGGGACGTCACGCGCACACGACAGTAACTCCAACTATAAATCCGCCAGTTCACAGTATGAAACCAAAGGCGAAGTAAGTAAATCAGATTTAAATGAAACACTTCATTCAGGTGAATTGAGAGGTTCCCTAATGCGAAGGCTGTGCTTTTAAAAACAGAAATAGCAAACTACAAGATTTTCCTGTTTTTCTGGTTGGTTTAGACTGTCAGAAGAGTAAAAAGCAATTTTGGATGTCTCATCTAGATACATTAAAACTGTTTTCAAAATTCATTTATGTTGTTAATATATACAATAAGCTTTAAACTGAACGGCAGGCCACTAACCTAATAACATACTGTCTTTAATAATAATAATAATACTTTTTTTTTTAAATATCAATTTTTAGTGTGGATTCAACTAGTTACAAATGTCATTAAACTTTAATATATTTTCATAATCAGTGTGAAATATGTAAAAGTGAAATTTGTTCCATATATGATGGTGCACAGATAAAAATGTGAGTCTTTCATGGTGCTACAATCCTCCAAAATGTTGAAAAGTATTTAAACGGGTATATATAGTGGACAACTAAGTGTGATTGTGATTTGTGGTTTGTTGATGTGGTGAGGCAGTTTATTCAGCTAGATGCATTTCTCTGTGTTCAGGAGCATCCCGGGCCTCATTATGAGGTGAGGAACTGGCTCTTTTACTTCCTGTTTTTGACATCGGCCACTCTGGGGCATGAGGTCTTTTACATCACCTTCCTGCCCTGCATCCACTGGAACCTTGACCCGTTTCTGTGCAGGCGGCTCGTCAATGTGTGGGCTGTAAGTGGCTGAGAAAATCACACACACACCCTGTGATTAAAGGGGTCATATGATGCTTTTTTAAAGATCATAATTTTGTGTATTTGATGTAACAGAATATGTTGACATGCTTTAATGTTCAAAAAACACATTCTTTTTCAAATACTGTACATTATTGTAGGTCCTATATACCCCGCATCTCTCAAACTCTTCGTTTTCTACAAAGTCCCTCCTTCCGACAAGCGCAGTCTGCTCTGATTGGCCAGCTGACCCAGTGCATTGTGATTGGCCGAACACCGCAAGCACTCGTCGGAAATGTAACGCCCCTTACCATAATCGCGAGCTTCATCTTTCAAAATAAATGTAAAGACCGAGCCCGAAAGGGGAACAGAGTCGCGGGACAGACACAGTGATGAAGCTGGTACGTGTTTGCAGTACACAAGCCACGGTTAAGACAGCTGACTCCACTGTGATGTGACCCTGTCTCTCTCTCTCTCACACACACACACACACACACACACACACACACATGATGCGCAAAACTCCGCATTTGAACAGTCAATAGCAAATACTTAAACTAATAACAAAACAGTAGCTGATTCAGAAGCGCCAGATTGTCATAGCAAAGTCAGAATTACCTCCTCTCCTAGGTTCGCGAAACGGTCGTCCATAAAATGCATTGCTGTTCTGTTGTAAGTAATCTTAAAGATTCCTAAATGCATCTACTTCCGGAAGGCCAAATAAAGTGCTTTTGCTTTCGCCTAGAAACACACAGCGTCTCCCTGACATGCTGCTTCAACACTAACTGCGGTTACTGAAACCACGCCTTCTTTCTTTGCGTGCACATTTGGGCCGCATTATGCAAATATTTCCACATAGTGAGGTAGATATGTGGGGGCGTGTTAGAACGAGCCGTTTTAGGGAAAGTCGGAATTGACCCCTTTTTATCTTTTTTTTTTAGAAATAGCCTTTGTGCACAGCCAGCCTTGTACTCTTCTAGGTTCAAAAAACTGTCGTCCATAAAATGCGTTGCACAAATTCGAACATCTGGGTTGTGCTGTTCTGTTGTAAATAAATCTTAACCAATGATTCCTAAATGCATCTACTTCCGGCAGGCCAAATAAAGTGCTTTTGCTTTCGCCTAGAAACACACAGCGTCTCTCTGACATGGCTGCTTCAACACTAACTGCGGTTACTGAAACCACCCCTTTCTTTCTTTGCGTGCACATTTGGGCCGCATTGTGCTAATATTTCCACATAGTGAGGTAGATATGTGGGGGCGTGTTAGAACGAGCCGTTTTAGGGGGGCGTGGCAGAGTCTTAACTTTGATAAAGAATATCTCTTTGGTTTTGAGACTTTAGTCTTTGCAACTTCAGGGATCTTATCTATGCACAATCAGCTTGTAACACTCCAAAGAGAAAGGAAAACTTGAAAAATCGCATCATATGACCCCTTTAAGTCATCATACTGTTGGGTCTTTGTTTTTCTGCAATGAGGAGAAATAGATTAGAATAGACAGAAACAAAATGAAATTTAACTTGGACAGCTGTTGTAACACAAACCAAATTCTCTTATTCATTTTCCTCAGTGTTTCTATTTTAGATCTTTGTTCACTTTAAATGCTATTTCCACAAGTTTACATATAGTTTCCACAGCAACAGCATCAGACAAACTGCATTTGATTGGTTCACCTCTGGAATCAATGTAGCTGAACTAAATTTAACATGAGTGGAGAAGTTATTCATTTGTTCGAATGTTCAACGAAGCTTAATTTTGAATTGCTTTTTGTTATATCTCCTGAAGAAACAAAGATGAACATGACTGAACCAAGGTATTATCATTAACTAAGGAGTTTACATGACACTGTTTTCAACAAAAAACTGAAATTTTTATGCATTTTGGCTGTTCATTTACATGCCATGCGTTTTGGGAGCCTAAAAATGCTAACTTTTGAAAACGTGTTTCAAAGCGCAAGTTTTCGAAAATGGTCATGTTATCGCCTCAGTATAAACTCCAAAAAAGTGAAATTATGAAAATGGCGACATCATGCGCTTGCATAATATGCATTCATTCTATAGAAATGCATATGTGGTGGTAGTTTTTTAAACATTTTTTACAAAGTGACTCTGCCAACTACTGGCCTGGCATGCATAATACAGCGCTTTTAGTTTTCGCGGATCCGTGAATATGGGGATCATTTTGACAACGTTGTCGTCTGTAATGTGTTTTAAAAATGCAAAGGAAAATCCATTTTTAGTGCAATTGTTGTTGTGTAAACGTACCATAAAACTGAAACCATTACAACATTTTGTTACTTGAAATAAAATAAACTAACTGAAAAACTTAAAAAAAAAAGAAAACAATTTAAAATATTAGTCAACTAAACTATAATAATATATTAATATAATAATATATTACTAAAATAACTGAACTGGAAATAGTCCCCTAAATCTGGCAATATGCTGTAAATGGTAAGAAAAAAGTACCAGAAAGTAAAGTACCATGTTTGGGTATCAAGTTGCATTACCATCTTACTCTCAGAAAAAAGGTATAAAAGCTGTCGCTAGGGTTGTACCTTTCAGGTAGGTACACATATGTACCTTATTTACTCCTAAATGGTGCATATTATTACCTTAATGGTACATATTATTAGCACCTCCAGTGTACATATTAGTACCTTTTGAAAGGTTGACACTGAAAGGTTGACACTACAGTAACAGCTATTGTACCTTTTTTCTGAGAGTGTATTATCAGCAACAGTACTTATTTTCTATTTCCCCTTTGCCTCATTTACATCTCATTTTTCTGTCTCTCTCTGCAGGTGGTAATGTATATTGGGCAAGTGATGAAGGATATTTTAAAGCTGCCGCGTCCTCCATCTCCCCCTGTGGTCAAACTGGAAACGCGTGTGGACGCAGAGTACGGGATGCCATCCACACACGCCATGGCAGCGACGGCCATCTCATTTACGCTGCTTCTCAGCGCTCAGGAGAGAGTGAAGGTCAGACACACATGCTAGATTGAGAATGTTTTGAATGTGGCTTGTTTTTGCACAGTTCGCTGAAGGGGCGGGGCCATCTGTCACCATCGGTCAGCCCAAGTCCCGCCCACACATCTGCTGTGTGCCATTATAACGAACTCTCAGTAAATGACTGTCAATCAGCGTCGGTTATAGATGGTGCCATCAATCAGCTTTCAAACCTTTGACTCTTGAGTGGCACAGTAGCACACATATTTAAGCATTATACAACTTTATTAGTGGATTAAGTTGCATTCCTTTTAAGAGTGCTGTTTTTCTGTAGGCTTATTTTTCTTGTTTAGGCCTATATGGGCTGCCGTTTTTAAATGTTATTAGGCTATATTTTTATTTAATTTTATTTATATGATTAAGTATCTGTGTTGAAGCTAATTTGAAACCATATTCAAGATGTCAAGTTAAATGTACAAAATAAGATGTATAATGATGAAATATATTGCAATCAGAGAAATATTTACACTGTCATCAAAAATTTGGGACCAGTAAGATTTTTTTAAAGAATGTAATACTTTCAGTCAGCAAATATGCATTAAATTGATCAAAAGTGACAGTAAATACATTTGTTATAAAATTTCTGTTTCAAATAAATGCTGTTCTTTTGAACTTTCTATTCATCGAAGAATCATGAAAAATAAAATGCATCACGGTTTCCACAAAAAATGTGAAGCAGCACAACTGTTTTCAACATCTGTAATAATCAGAAATGTTTCATATTAGAATGATTTCTGAAGGATCATGTGACACTGAAGACTGGAGTAATGATGCTGAAAATTCAGCTTTACATCACAAGAATAAAGTACAGTTTAAAATTTATTCAAATAGAAAACTGTTTACTTTAAATTGTAATAATATTTTACAATATTACTGTTTTTACTGTATTTTGGATCAAACAAATACAGCCTTGGTGAGCATTAGAGAAAAAGTAGTTTGTTACTAGTCCAGATATTCAGTTTTGAAAGTGCTGCCCTACTTAAAACTAGTTCAATTACTAGCTTAAAAGGAAGAACTGATTTGAAAAATGATTCTTTGTACGGAAAGGAAACCAGAAAGCTGTGTGTGTATGATTTAAGAGTAAAAAAATCCATTCCAGTCAATTATACATGAGCTCTACTGTCCCACATTCATTCGTGCCCATTCAGGAAACGTTCTTCATTAACTTCCTGTGAAAGACCCCCAGCTGACAGAGGAAGAAAGGGAGGAGAGCTGGACAGATGGAGAGACAGGGAGACGGATGGAGTAAGACTGAACGGAGGGGGCGGGGCAACTTCATGAATATGTAAAGACTCTTCCAGTGTTGTCAGTGATTAACAGAGTCCTGAATAAAACCAGAGGGAAGAGCACATGTCTGGAGAAAAGAGCGGTTATTAAGAGAAGAGCTGCCACACAGAATGGCTGGAGACCACATCATAGAGAGAGAGAGAGGAAAAGACGACAAGGAAAGATGGATGAGAGGATGTTTTGATAAAGCCACTGAATTTTCAGCTGGAAAGACGAATTTGGAGGAAAAAACACCATAGAAGTGACATTACAAGTGGTTCATATGACTTGTGCACTATATTCCAAGTCTTATGAAGCTAAAGATAGCTTTTTGTGAACAATGGATCAAATTTAGCACATTATTTATGGAAAATCTTTCCCTCTGCTATAGCTTTCTAATCAAATTTGTATTTGTTTACATTCAAACTTGTCCACTTTTGACAAAAGTGACATCAAACTGACTTGTGAATGATGATAAAATGCAAATTTTTGATTGAACTGTTCATTTTTCTGTCTTTGTGCATGTTAGTTCCCATTTGAACTGGGACTGATTGTGGCCGTGGTTCTGTCTGCGCTGGTGTGTCTGAGTCGTCTTTATACCGGCATGCACTCTGCTCTGGTAAGACTGGAAGAGAGACTTTAAAATGGACATGCGGTTTTGCGTTTGATATGAAACATTTATATTCTTGTATTATTCATATAGTCTGGCTGGTCTCCATAGATTTTAACTCTAGTTACTTTAATACAGCACAGCTGTAGTGGTGCATCATGCTGAGGCAAACATTTGGCCTATTGGTCATGCTTGGAGATATTAATATAATAAAATGTTAATGAAAATAATATTAATATAAATATTTTAAAATGTTAATATTTTAATATATTAAAAGATTTGTATTAGCAAACATTTTATATGTAATATTATTCGAAACCCTAATAGTTTAGTAGTTTAGCATTAAATCTAACTATTAACCTGTTGTTTTAAATGGAGCTTTATGTCACATTGTAAGTAAACTGCCCATTTAGAAAAATTACATTTAGAACACCCTGCAAACAGCTAAAAACATCCTAATAACCATGCAAAACACCCTAGCAACCACACAGCAACACGATAACACAAAGATCAACCTTGCAATCTAGGTAGCAACATCTTAACCACTTATAACACTAACAGCTACAGAGCAACACATTAACAACCACTCAGAACACCCTAGCAACTGCATAGCAACACAGTAACCACTCAGAACAGCATTGCAACCATCTAGAAACATTAATTACTCGCAATAACCTAGCGACTAGCAACACGTTAACAACCACTCAGAACACCATAGCAACCACATAGCATCACGATAACACAAAGATCAACCTTGCAATCTAGGTAGCAACATCTTAACCACTTATAACACTAACAACTACAGAGCAACACATTAACAACCACTCAGAACACCCTAGCAACTGCATAGCAACACAGTAACCACTCAGAACAGCATTGCAACCATCTAGAAACATTATAAAAACCACTCAGAACCCCTAGTGTCCGCATAGCAACATATTAACAACCACTCAGAACACCCTAGCAACTGCATAGCAACACAGTAACCACTCAGAACAGCATTGCAACCATCTAGAAACATTATAAAAACAACTCAAAACACCCTAGTGTCCGCATAGCAACATATTAACAACCACTCAGAACAATGTAGCAACCACATAGCAACAAACTAACAACCACTCAGAACACCCTAGCAACTACATAGTAGCATGAACATCATAGCAACTGCATAGCAACAAATTAACAACCACTCAAAACACCCCAGCAACCACATAGCAACACATTAAGAACCACTCAGAACAACGTAGCAACTACATAGTAGCACGAACACCATAGCAACAAATTAACAACCACTCAAAACACCCCAGCAACCACATAGCAACACATTAAGAACCACTCAGAACAACGTAGCAACTACATAGTAGCACGAACACCATAGCAACAAATTAACAACCACTCAAAACACCCTAGCAACCACATAGCAACACGTTAAGAACCACTCAGAACGCCCTAGCAACTGCATAGCAACACAGTAACCATTCAGAACACCATTGTAACCGGCTAGAAACATTCCAAAACCCATTCAGAACACAGTTGCAACTGCATAGCAACACGATAACCACAAAGATCACTCTTGCAACCAGCTAGAAACATCTTAACAACCACTTACAACACTCCAGCAACCGCATAGCATCACATTAATAACCAATCAGAACACCCTAGCAACTGCACAGCAACGCGGTAACCACTCAGAACATAATTACAACATCTAGAAACATTATAAAAACCACTCAGAACCCCTAGTGTCCGCATAGCAACATATTAACAACCACTCAGAACAATGTAGCAACCATATAGCAACAAATTAACAACCACTCAGAACACCCTAGCAACTACATAGTAGCACGAACACAATAGCAACAAATTAACAACCACTCAAAACACCCTAGCAACCACATAGCAACACATTAAGAACCACTCAGAACACCCTAGCAACTGCATAACAACACCGTAACCACTCAGAACATAATTGCAACCATCTAGAAACATTATAAAAACCACTCAGAACCCCCTAGTGTCCACATAGCAACATATTAACAACCACTCAGAACAATGTAGCAACCATATAGCAACAAATTAGCAACAACTCAGAACAACCTAGCAACTACATAGTAGCACTAACACCATAGCAACAAATTAACAACCACTCAAAACACCCTAGCAACCACATAGCAACACATTAAGAACCACTCAGAACACCCTAGCAACTGCATAACAACACCGTAACCACTCAGAACACCATTGCAACTGGCTAGAAACATCTTAACCACTTACAACACTCCAGCAACCGCATAGCAACACATTAATAACCACTCAGAACACCCTAGCAACTGCGCAGCAACACGGTAATCACTCAGAACATCATTGCAACCATCTAGAAACATTATAAAAACCACTCAGAACCCCTAGTGTCCGCATAGCAACATATTAACAACCACTCAGAATGATCTAGCAACCATATAGCAACAAATTAAAAACAACATTAGCAACACCGTAACCATGCATAGAAAATGTGTACATATTTCATAATAATGGCATAGAAACTGCATTATTGTGTCATTATGAGTTGTGCTACATGAATCTAGAGTTACAGAGTCTGATACTAATGACTGAAATCTTTCTCCTTTATGTTTCCTCTTCCTCTCAGGATGTAATCTGTGGCGTTGTAATTTCAGCTGTCATCATGGCTGTGTCGTACCCATACTGGGGAACCATTGACTACCTGCAGCTGCACAATCCTCTCTCCCCCGTGGTGGGGGTGGTTCTGCCCCTCTTCCTGTCTTATAAGTACCCCGAGCTGGACCATTACAGCACCACACGGGGGGACACCACTGTTATTTTAGCATGCTGTTCGGGATGTTCAGTTGGATACTGGGTGAATGAGCGATTGGGCTTGACCTTTGACCTAGCCGGGCCTTTTCCAGTGACCCTACCACCGTTGACCCTCGTAGCCTTGGGTCTCGGTGTGGTGCGGTTCCTGGTCGGGTTAGGGATGCTGGTCCTGACCCGGCAGACGGTGCGCTGGGCGAGTCTGCGGGTACTCTGTCGAATTAACGGAGCATCTGTGAGTGACGTCGAAGCACGCAGAAGGAAAGAGATCGAGGTGCCGTATAAGTTCAGCACGTATGTTGCCATCGGACTGGTCAACAGTATCTTAGTGAACAGAGTGTATGTGATGATGGGACTCTGGGATTTGGGAAATTCGGTGTAATTTCACAGTGTTTACAGGGAAGTTTGAACAGAATCTCGCTCCGTAATTTATTCTCAGGGAGAAATTAACTTTAGTCTTTGTTCAGGAATGGTTGGCACATAAATTCTCACATTGAACAGTAGTTTGTTAAACCTACTAGCTGCATTTTGTCAGATTTTGAAAACCGAATTACAGTTTGTGGATGTTTTGTGGCAGATTCGCTTGATTTTTAAGGGAATATTCTTGGTTAAATACAAGCTAAAGGAGAACTGTGTAATTTCTGTGCCACAAAAGTCACCAACTAAAATTAGAAACGCATACAAATAATTTGAAAAATGACTAATGAATCATTTCCTTGACTCTCATCTGCTATAGAGTGAAATGAGTTAGACTTTTTGTGTGTGTGTGAAAATTAGTGTATTTTTACACTTTTGTGCGCTTTTTTACGCTTCCAGTTGCATCGTCCCAAAGTCAATGTTTTTTGTGAACAGGTTTTTGGTTTAATGTCTGTGTTTACAGAAGATATTTTCACATTTTATTCTACAACATAAAATACATCAGTAATAGCCCACTGATTTTTATTTGAGAGATTTTACTTGTCTTGAAAAAGATGGTTGCTATGGTATTCTGGGACATTAAACGTCATCACACCAAACAGGTAAACTCATCTACTCACTAGTTCTTTCACAGCCTCATTATGTTTAGAATCACACTCTTGCAAACGATTCTAACTCAAACTAATCAACTAAGGATTGAAACGCCACTGGTTAAGTCAGTGCTGCTGACATTGATGATTAAGTAAATAGTCACGTTTTGATCATACTTTTTTGTGGGATAATTCAATGTATGCTTTGCATGAAGATGGGATATTAGAATATATTTTAACATTTTACCTTTATAGGAAACTGTTGATTTCTACTTCCAACCATAACGTAAGTTATAAACTTGAGTCAATGGTGCAAAGTTATGGCTGTTGCCCAATAGTCTTCCATTGTAAAAGCATTTTTTATCAGGTCAAACTGTCGGACAAATTGATATTATTATTTTCTGTGGTAATAAGAGTAAATGGAGCTAGCATGGATATTCCCTTTCGATATTTTCCTAAAAACAGCATCACCTTAAAAGTTAGATTTTGCACTGAAACCCACAGATTAAAGATGCAGTCACTTTTACCATTGCTGAGTGGATTTCACCCGTGAAAATTCGCTCATTTCAACAGGAATCCATGTGATTGGGAATTTCGTGTGAGGGCCAAAGATTTCCCCACGCAGATTTTGTGACTGGTTCAAGATGGTCACACGAATTTGTCATGTTGACCAACAGAAAGCTGCTCGATTTGAATGTGATTTCTGCGCGAGTTGTGCTACACCATTGACAACGGACCTTTTGGCGTTCAAAATATCGCTGAAATTTTGCGAATGTCTTTGAAGAAAGTCCTTGAAGAAAAAGGTCTAAGTTCGGTTTTGTGACATCACAATGACAAGCTTAAAGGGTAGATGATGATGTTTATTAATGACCATTTGACTGCCTCAAATCTATGCTTTTTTTAAACACGTAGTTATGCATTTGATATTTATTACAAAATACTGAAGAACATATTTTGTACTTTGAGTTGCCGGGTATGATACTCAGGATGTGTGTTTATGAGCTTTTACAGATGTGGTAAAAGAAATTAATAAACACCGTAAAAACGGCTCTGAGTATGTGTCTTCGCTCTCCCTTCATTGTTTTTTTAATTGTATTGATGTGCTGAGGAGTGTTTGGTTTAACAGTTCTTTATGACAGAAACCACAAACATGCCTCATGTAGCCACAAACCCTCACAAATGCAGTGTACACACAGACCATCCTTTCACACACACCCAAATTAAAGACTGGGAATAATAGCCTCTAATCACTTACCCTCTTAAATGTGTAGTTCAGACACTAACGACACATCTACTCAACTTTTAACACTTAGAATAATATCAAAGGCATTAAATAGCTAGTATGAAACTAACAAGTATGGGAAGCCATTGAGCTCGTTTTAAGCATATGAACCAGGGGTGTCAAACTCAGTTCCTGGAGGGCCACAGCCCTGCACAGTTTAGATGCAACCCTAATTAAACACACCTGATCCAGCTAATCAAGTCATTAAGGCTTATTTGAAAACTACATGGTATGTGTGTTGGAGCAGGGTTGGAACTAAACTATGCAGGGCTGCGGCCCTCCAGGAACTGAGTTTGACACCACTGATATGAACTGAATGAAGCCTTTGGATTTTTAAAATCATGAAAAAACAAATTCAGTCAAATGCATGTAAACAAGTCTGGTATCTGCTGGAAATCAGGGGCCTGTACCATGATAGTGGCTGAACAAACTCAGGGTTACAGGATTAGTTTTGAGTTGACAAAACCAAACCAATCCAATCTGGCTTTGTTGGTACCATGATGCTGACCATCAACTTTCTCTGTCAACTCAGGCTTTGATCCTGAGTTAATGAAGCAAGCGTGACATCAGTAATGAACAGCCAATCACATGCCCTTAAACTGTGATTCACATCTCGCAATTCACTGCCATAGATTAAAAGATTGAAAAATATTAATTTAAATACATTTACACAGCAAGGTGGAAAGAGCTGTCAGTGAAAGAGGACAACTAAAAGAAAACATCTTGCCATGTGAGTGCAAGTGAAACTTGTGAAGTTAGTTTATATAGTTGATAATATATATAGGTAGAAAGAGGCTCAAAAATCTAAACTCAAATGTAGTCATGTTTACAGCTTTATCCATTAATTCTAAAGCTTATTTATATTCTATATTATCTGTATATATTTATATTCATTTAAAATAAAAGATTAATCATTATTATTCAACTAAACTGCTCATGCTTATTTATATTCTATATTATCTGTATATATTTATGTTCATTTAAAATAAAAGATTAATCATTATTATTTTAATATGGCTTGTGTAATGAATTAAGGCTATAATAAATATATAAATCATATAATTATAATAAATAATCATCACTAAAAGCCAGATGATTTTATCTTTAAAAATGTTTTACTATGTAGTGCTCTTTAATTTGGAGCAAGAGAAATTGGGGGAGTGGCTTTATTGCAGCAGAGATTCTTGAAGCTGATTGGTCAAATTTCAGTTTGCGATCTCTAAACTACATAACCTGCCCCGGAGCAGGTTAGCGATGGAGCAGAAGTTACTATGGCGATGAACACTGCTAAAAGTCAAGCCACTTTCATGGTACGTAAAACCCAGGATTGGTGCAAACTAAACTGAAACTTACCTGACTAGCCAGCTAATCCGGCTTCATGGTACAGGCCCCAGGTGGAGCCCAACTCTCTCATCTTCTCAACATCAAAGATCGCCTTGATTTAAAAAAATAATTACAGATAGAATATTAAGTTAGCTTTAGATAAAGTACAGTATGTCACATTAGATGAAATTGCTTGATATACATCAAATCCACTAAAAAAACAAAAACAAATCTAGACTTTTTTGTTGTATTCATCCGTATTTATTTGTTCCCCGGAGCAGGTTAGCGATGGAGCAGAAGTTACTATGGCGATGAACGCTGCTAAACGCCAAGCCACTTTCATGGTACCTAAAACCCAGGATTGGTGCAAACTAAACTGAAACTTACCTGACTAGCCAGCTAATCCGGCTTCATGGTACAGGCCCCAGGTGGAGCCCAACTCTCTCATCTTCTCAACATCAAAGATCGCCTTGATTTAAAAAAATAATTACAGATAGAATATTAAGTTAGCTTTAGATAAAGTACAGTATGTCACATTAGATGAAATTGCTTGATATACATCAAATCCACTAAAAAAACAAAAACAAATCTAGACTTTTTTGTTGTATTCATCCGTATTTATTTGTTTCTGTGTTGTAAAATGTGCTGGACACAAACATACAGCCATGATGTTTAATATATGAATAACATACTAGCAGTGGACAAGTCGAGTTTTATTAAAACATTGATTTATATCCTGAACATACAGTAACACATGCTGTTGTGGCTATTACTCATTTTCCAAAAGACAGATGTGACAGTAATGAGTGGCTGGGAGGAGCCCAAAGCGGAGGGGTGTGGCTAAGGGTATTTGCATTATGACATCACAGGAAGGGTTCGATGTCGATATCGATGGCGGAGCAGGGCATGGTCAGCTCAAAACGACTGATGACATCAGGGTGAAGGACCCCGAGGTGTCCGATGCTTTTGCCACATGAAAAGATCTCAGCACAGCGGCCAGGGAAGAAGGTGGAGTCTGTAAGAAATATAATGAAAATAAAATTGATTAAATATCTAATTCTTTATAATAACATGCACAGTGTTATTTTAGCATTTATTATATACTATTATAGTATTTTTTAATATTTTGAATTAACTTAATTTTAGATTTTTAATTTTAAAGGGGTCATATGATGCTTTTTTTTTAAAGATCATTATTTTATTAATTTTAGTAAATATAATATAATATACATATAATTTATTACAATTATTTTATTATATATTATTATTTCTTCTATATTATATTTTATTTCAGTTTACCTTTTTTAAATTAAATAAATTTATTTTTAATAGTTTCATTTTAGTTAATAATAACAACACTGAAAATGCACTGATGAATCATTCACAATAAGACCAGAAACATGAATAAAGAAATCTAATTTCGGGGTCAATTTTTATTTCATTAGACTTTAAATAGCTTCTTCCGTCCATCAGGTGGAAATAAAATGAGGAAAACAAGAACAGAAACGTAATAAAAAATCTACATAATCCAGTAATAAAAAAAGTCCCACCATAACACCTCCTATTTTGATTTTGCTGACCTACTTCACGCACATAAACGCTATTAAATATTAACCACTTAAATAAATCTTTGAATATGACTCAGAGAGCTCATAAAACAGGTGCACAAAGCGATCACAAGAAGGACACCATGTCGACTTTTAACATTTATGACTCACCCTCTGCCGCCTGGATGTGGTATCCTTGGTTACGGCCTGGTTTGACGTCCAGCAGCTGCATGACCCGGTCCAGAAGTCCATGGATGACTTCAAATCCCGGGCTCTTGTTGTAGTAAACGGCACAGAGACGCCTGTTGTTACGGGCTCCTACGTCTGCCAGACAGATGAAGTTCAGTGACTGCATAATTATTAGCATATTAGCATGAGGACATCAAACACACCTTTTGTTTCATCCTTCAGGACGACGTCTGAAATCTCGAACAGTTTGAGAGGAAGGGGCATCTTCCTGTTGGCAGCGAGAGTCTTTAGGAGTCCGGGAAGAAGACAGGTGCGTGCCACCTACAGGAAAGTACGGTTTAGTTAGTTAGACTTCACTACCAACTGATTTCATCTTGTGAAAGCACCCACTAGTGGACAGATGTGAGAAATGCCAAACAGATCTTCTGTGGGTACCTGAAACTCTGCGGTCTTTGGGTTGGAGATGTGGACTGCTCTGGTTTCTGCGATGTTTTTCCTGAGTTTATCTGCGATATCTTCTTCGGAGCACTGCAGAGAGAGGAAAAGACCATTTTAAAGCAGTCACATCATGGAAAATACGATAATAATACGAAAATAATGCAAAAAATAGACAACACGTCTTTGTTACATTGTTCTTGTGTCAAATATACAGTGCAACCAATGTTGTCATTTAATCAGACTTTTATGAGGGGTTCTTCTATTTATTATCTATTTTCTAAGTGCATGTTATTGATCTATTTTTTTGAACGATTCATCCATGCATTTTTTTTTACCTTGTAACTTTTAATCAAAATGTCATAACCAAGTTCCTGGATTACATTTTTTTTTTAAATTATTATTCAATAATCCATTACACTTAGATGTACGTCACAACACAGAATGAAACATCTGCTGCTACTTCGATTTAATCACGAATTGAAATGATTCAGTCAAAATGACTCACAAACTCAAGATTTATTGTTTTATAATCATTTTCAAAAGTGACTTGTTGAATCTGTCAGGTTGCTATGACAACGTGGAGTTATAAATACACAGTCACACAAAAATGTTGTTGTTATAAATGGTATAAAAAAAAAAAAACATTACAGTATGTTTTTTAGTATGCAGTTAAGACCAGATGCATATTAATGAGGGCGTTGCCCAATCAAAGCAAACAGGGCTGGGTTGACAATATCAATAATCTTTGTTTTGATGAACTGATATGGGTTCTTAAATTTCAAAATCGACCTTTTAGTCTTTTCTATTGATGCATGAATATATATATATATATATATATATATGTACGTGCGCGGCGTGCTCCTGAAGATGTTGTTGAAGCCGTATGCTATGGCGGCGTCCTCCATGATGTCACAGGCGTGGATGACATCAGCGCGCGTGGGCGGGATCTCAACCTGGATCAGATCGCCCTCACCGCTGACCTCTGACCTCAAACACATCCGGGTCAGCAGCTGAGCGATGCTTTCTGCCGATTCGCTGAGAGACAACACAGAGTGTGATCAGGGTTCAATCTACTGACTGAAGCAGAGGGGAAAAAAAGAAGAAGTTAAAGCTCTAAAGCAGAGGTGCCCAAACTCGGTCCTGGAGGGCCGGTGTCCTGCAGAGTTTAGCTCCAACTTGCCTCAACACACCTGCCTTTAAGTTTCTAGTATGCCTAGTAAGAGCTTGATTAGCTGGTTCAGGTGTGTTTAATTGGGGTTGGAGCTAAACTCTTCTGGACACCGGCCCTCCAGGACCGAGTTTGGACACCCCTGCTCTAAAGAGATCAAATGAAATATTTATAATGTGCTCACTTGATCCCAACTCTTTTGTTGATGAAGTCCCCAGACAGCGTCTCCGTCCTGTACGCCAGCTCCTGATTTCAAAGTCGACAGTCAGCAAAGAACAATATTTTATTCATTTTAATCTGGATTTAATATTTAGTCCTGTATCTCTGTCAACAACATCTGTAGCACAAAAATATATTTGTGTGGGTTAAAAAAAAAAAAAAGACCATTCTGTCATCATTTACTCACCCTCATAAGTAAGTAAATGATGACAGAATTTTCATTTTTGGGTGTACTTTCCCTTTAATTTCAATGCAGTTGTGTGGTTAGTTCAGAAAATGAGTGTAATTACAAACAAGTTGAAAACTGAATACATACAGGATACACACACAATCTGCCGTCAGGATAAACAACCTCTGCCTCCTCAACCCTGAATAAAGAGACAGACACATCAACAATAAACATCTCAGTACTGAACAACATGTTGAAGGGGTAAATGAAAACTGGAGACGCTATAAAACAATATAGAGTGTGTCGTGCGATACTCACGTGAACGGTTCCTCACAGTATTCACTAAACATGGTCACTACCATGTCCAGCGTGGTCTTCGCCTGCAAACACACACAGAAAACACTTTTCATGTTTAAAAGCATGCTGCAGTTCTTAGTTACTCTTCAGGATTGTTTGATAAATTGAAAGTTCAAAACAACCGCATTCATTTGAAATAGAAGTCATTTGAAACATTATAAATATCTTTACTGTCACTTATGATTTAATGCATCCTTTCTGAAAAAGTATTCATTTCTTTAAAAAAAATAAAAAATCTTACAGACTCCAAACGTTTGAACTGTAGTGTGTATATTGTATTATTACAAAACAGTAATAATATTAGTATAACGGTAAAGCGGTTTACCTTTGTGAGGTCTGTGGCCGTGCACTCAATGAAAATGTTCTTTGTGTTTAATGAGATTTTGCTGTGGTCCCCTGAGAGAGAGAGAAATACAAAACTTTAGACTAACAGTGTTTCAATGAACAGATCTATGTACAGAAAACTGAACAACAAAATCACAAAGCTTAAAGATGAATTGAATGAAATGGACTATCTGTGTGCCTGTGAATGCATATGTGTGTATTTAACTCACCGTTGATGACTGGAGGCATAGACAGGACGATTCCATTACTGTCGTATATGATGGGGTAGAGAGGTTCATTCTCGATGATGTGGAGGTAGTGTCTCAGATGACCGTCAGTCTACATGACATTAAATATTCATAAAACAACTTATTAACATTAAGATTGATTACATTTGTTTAAACTTGTTAAATGATGCAGTCCGAGGGAAAAATCTCTAAAAGAAACAAGATTTGACAAATGCATCGACAAACAAGCTACTAATGTATTAAAGGGGTCATGAACTGAGAAATCTAAATTCCCTTGATCTTTTGACATATAAGAGCTCATTGTACTTTAAAAACATCTTGTAAGTTTCAGAACTCAAAACTTTCTCTTTAGTCTAAATACTGCTTATATTGAAGCCGATCTGCTAAAAATGATAGCTTGTGGAATGAGCCACTTTATGACGTAATAGTGTGGCTAAACTCCGCCTCCGCAGAAGATGATCAACGCCTGCTTCTGCATCACTGCCTGTTTAGCCCCGCCCACTGATTCACACATGTAGTGTAATTAACGAGAGGCAAACGCAGGTCTACACAGAAACCAAACGATAAAGATGCTCAGAAGACAAGACGCTGTGCAGTGCCAAGCTGTGGGAAAAACAGTCTTTGCATCGCCTTCCTTCTGATCCCAACATTAGGAAAGAGTGGATGAAGTTTATTTTTAATGAAGATCCAGATCACGTCAGTAAGAATTGGTTCTTTGTTCACTTCCTTTTACAGTGGATTTGTTTACCAACAAAGCATAATTAGACTCAGGATTTTCAGAAAGATTGAATTTAAAAGACGATGCTGTGCCATATATATATATATATATATATATATACACACATACATATGAGTTTTTTTTATGTAAAAATCTTGATAACATTATAAGTGGCCCTCAGAGAACAGTACAAAATAATAAAAAAGGCAGTTCATGACCCCATTAATGTATTTATGTATTTAATACATTAATACATCATACATTACATACATATTATGTATGTAATATTTTGAATAAGATTTGTACAAATATTTTCTTTTTTAATTTTGCAATTAATTTGTGTTTTTAACTTTTTTTTTTTTAATTATTATCATTTTTATGTCTACATAGTTTTCCTATTAAGTTTTTCCAAATTTGAATTTGAACTAAAAAAAATGAGAAATGTTGCTCCGGCAATTAGATAAAAAAAAAAAAATAATAAAAAAAATATATATATATAAAAAAATTTTTTTATGGTTTTAGTTAACGATAACAAACCTGATCTGGCCAGAACAACCAATCAAATCTCACCTTATAGAGACTCATGAGCTCAGTGGCGGTGTACTCTTTGCTCTGATTGAGCGGTTTGAAGCGGATATCGCCGGGCGGTTTGGCTGTGTAAGTGAACGGACCGGAGATGGTGTCCAAATCATGAGTTCCTATGGCAACCAGGGTCCTTTTCCTGATGGAAGCAGAACAGAGTGATAAAACATCAGAATTTGCAGTGCAACTTCTCATAACAAACCAGCGAGTGTTGACTCACCTGCAGATGTTCTGGTGCAGCTTCTCCTGCAGCTCAATGAAGCTCTCGTATCGTTCCTGAGTGAAGGTGATGTTGCGCAGTACAGCTGCTACAGCGTGCGGCCTCACAGACGCCGTCTAGATAAACACGTAATATTATCTAATATCAGCACCGCAGCCATTACATTAATTTTAATGATCTCCCTCCATTCTTCACTATGGCTGATGGTTTCTCACTGTACTTGAGCTCTTAAGAAATCAATATAATTAAACCTCTAAGCTGAAATACGACTCTGATATGAACCTCGTCGGTTATGACCAGCCGCTGAGGCTCTCCTCCGTCCGCCGGACTCACACGCTTGTACCGAGGAGCTTCCAACCTACAAACACAACAAAACCAGCCATATAAAGACCATAACACTGAACCACAAACAGCAGAACCACAAACACTGAGTCTTACTTCTCCTTGAAGACCTGCAGACCCCTGACGAGACCCTCCAGACACAGGAGATCATAGCGGTTAGCTGGCACGTCGATCTTATACAGCACAACATCAGACGCCCCTTCTGCCTTCTCATCTCCCTGTTCACGGCTTATAATGTCCTTCTCTGATGTCTAGACACGGAGAGACAGACAAAATCATGGGTTAATCAGATGCCCTAACATCAGTTTTGGAAAATAACATTTCTGTAATGATATATTTTATTATATAACTCACATACACACATATATATATATATATATATATATATGTGTGTGTGTGTGTATATATACCAAAGAGAAAGGAAAAATTGAAATCGCATCATATGACCCCTTTAACACATATATACATACACACAAACTTCTATAATTATAATTAATATATGTCTGTTTGTATATATATATATATATATATATAATTACATAGAAGGTAAAACTCTAATAACTCTTTAATAAAACTCTTTAAAAAAGACAGATTGTAAACAAATAAAGTTTCATATAACTTACGATTTCGTCCAGCTCGAGGCCAAACTCGAAACATAGTTCATCAAATTCTTCATCAGCTAAAATGTGGATAGAAAAAATATAATATTTAAATATAAAAATTTAAATAAAGCATGAAATTCTGAGTCGCATTATGATTGCGTCATCAATGGGCATCCAATTTGACATATCAGCTTTTCAAATGAATGAAGAATAAAAACTAACGCTAGATTACAAGACATAAAGCACTACAGTATTCAAGCAGCACCAGACTAAAAAAAATTACATATATTAAATATAAGACAAAATATTCCCTGAATTCGGTCAAATCTCGGAATATTCGGAATCTGATGCAATCGCTGCGACACACCGGAGAAATGTCATTTAAATTCGTTTTGAGTCTCGAAATGAATTCGTTCAGTAATGATGAGATGGGCCAGTAGGATATGTGATCTATAAAATGTTAATTTGTTTATTAAGACATTCCTCCATGACTTCCACAGATGCAGACTCAATCACACTGAGCACATTTTCCCTGCTAAAAACACACTCGTGAACCCGCTCACCCTGTAAAACACATAAATGTGAAACACTTACTGTATTTTTGTCCCAGAGCTTCAAATAGCAGATCTCTCTTCACGCTGACTGTCGGCATGGTCGCAGCTGATCAGCGGGGTCTGGTCGAGCGTCACCGGAACACTACATTTCAAAATAAAAGCCCACATAGAACAGCACGGAAAAGGCCTATATTTAAAAAATAAAAGTCCCAACCGGAAACTTGAATATTTACGTTGACATGGCATACTTATCCCCTTAAATTTTGAAGAGATTCTTTAAAAATTTGAATTCGTGTTTATTTTATATGACGGACATTTTTGGGGATATTTATTTATATATTTATTTATTTACAAAAATATTCGGGAGGGGGATACTGCCAGATTTCTGAGTTTAAATAAATAAATGCATACATACATACACTTTGGGATCAGTAAGAGTTTTAACGTGTTTTAAAGAAGTCTCTTCTGTTCATCATGGGCTGCATTTATTTGACCACAAATGCAGAAAAAACAGCAATATTGTAAAACATTATTACCATTTAAAATAACGGTTTTCTATTTTAATATATTTTAAAATATATTTTATTTCTGTGATGCAAAGCTGATTTTTCATCATCATTACTCCAGTCTTCAGTGTCACATGATCCTTCAGAAATCAGTCTAATATGCTGATTTATTATCAATGCTGGAAACAGTTTTGCTGCTTAATATTTTTTTTGGAAACTGTGATACTTTTTTCAGGATTATTTGATGAATAGAGTTAAAAAGAACAGCATTTATTTAAAATAGAAATCTTTTCTTTTTTCAGGATTATTTGACGAATAAATTTAAAAAGAACAGCATTTATTTAAAATAGAAATCTTTTATTTTTTCAGGATTATTTGACGAATAAATTTAAAAAGAACAGCATTTATTTAAAATAGAAATCTTTTATTTTTTCAGGATTATTTGACGAATAAATTTAAAAAGAACAGCATTTATTTAAAATAGAAATCTTTTATTTTTTCAGGATTATTTGACGAATAAATTTAAAAAGAACAGCATTTATTTAAAATAGAAATCTTTTATTTTTTCAGGATTATTTGACGAATAAATTTAAAAAGAACAGCATTTATTTAAAATAGAAATCTTTTATTTTTTCAGGATTATTTGACGAATAAATTTAAAAAGAACAGCATTTATTTAAAATAGAAATCTTTTCCAACAATATAAGTATTTATTATCACTTTACTATCACAAGAAATGCTTTTATTCAGCAAGGATGTGTTATGCTGAATAAAAGCATTTATTTCAAAACAAAAAAGAAAGAAAGAAAAAAATACTGACCCCAAACTTTTGAACGGTAGTGTATATTGTTACAAAAGATTTCTATTTTAAATAAATGCTGTTCTTTTTAAATGTATTCATCAAATAATCCTGAAAAAAGTATCACAGGTTCAAAAAATATATATTAAGCAGCCAAACTGTTTCCAATATTAATAATAAATCAGCATATCAGAATGATTTCTGAAGGGTCATGTGACACTGAAGACTGGAGTAATGATGCTGAAAATTCAGCTGCGCATCACAGGAATACATTATATTTTAAAGTATATTAAAATAGAAAACCATTCTTTTAAATTGCAATAATATTTCACATTATCACTGTTTTTCTGTATTTCTGATCAAATAAATGCAGGCATGATGAGCAGAAGAGACTTCTTTAAAGCACATTACGAGTGTCGCTGCAGTTGTCCTCCGCTCCGCGGCGCGGCGCTCTCTCCCCGCGCGCTCATCACACCTCAACGTTCGCGGAAGGTTGTGTTGAGTTTCTGAGCGTCGATCTCATGCGGCCTCGTCGCGAAAATCCAGTTCACACATGTTTATTTGGGTCCAGGAGAATATATCTAATAACATATTGAGTTAATAACGCTCATGGACATGGAAGCGGTGAACGCCTTTAACGGGGAGGTGAGAATTCGCGTTTTATTTGCCGTTTACCCCCTTATCGTTAGCCGAGCGCGCCATGCCACACCAAAACAATCCGTGTTTTGTGTGTGTTTGTTGTTCACTGATGGATCAATGTCATAGATTTTTGCAGTTTAATGTTTTAAACTCAAATAAAACCCGATATATAGTTCAACAGATGTGATATGAGTATGAATTAAGTTAGTTTGTTTAGTGACCTTCCGCCTATTCGTGCTGTCAAACTACGCCTAATAATAAATTAGCTTGAGCGCTCACAGCACATTTATGGTTTATTGAGAGATTATATAAGAGATACACAATGTTTTAAGTGATTTAATCTAGTTTTGACCTGTTTGTTGTAATAGAAGTGAATATAGAGAGTATTACAGTGGCGCCCCCTACAGATTCAGATACCTGATCAACTCTATTGATGATTTAATCATGTGGTTTAAAGGCGTTCCTGATCTCTAAACCGAGATCTGCCGTTTGTTATGAGGTTAAATGTATGTTTTATTAATTTTGACATTATCTATATTGAGTTCGCAGTAACTGAGCTGAAAGTTTTGAATGTCGTTTTGATCTTAGTTCTTTCTTAAGGCCCGTTCACACCAAGCACGATAACTATAAAGATAACGATAAAGATATAGTTCTAAAAATCGTTCTCAATATTAAAGAATAGCATAGTTCACACCACAACTACAACGATAACGATACAGAGGAACGATATCGTTGTGATCACTTTCAAAACGATTTTTTTCCAGCTGATGAACGATAAAACACTGACAGCCAATCAGAATCCATCCTGCTGTAACGAGCTCGAGAATTTAAAGTGGCAGACGCATGTGCGCCTAGAATAAACAGACGATATCGTTCGCTGGTGTGGACGCTAATATCGTTATCTTTATAGTTATCGTTCTTGGTGTGAACGGGGCTTTACACCGTAATTTCTTATGAGGATAAATTGGACATTTCTTCATCCTGCTTCCTCCCTGTAGATGATGTCCATGATGGACATGACTCCCCCAATCTCTCGAGCCAAAATGATGTCTGTAACCAAAGCAGGAATCAAAGCTATCAAGGTAAGTCAAGACAGAAATAGGAAAACGAAAGGATTTTGATAAATTATAAAGAGTTATTTGAAGAATGATTTGATTTATGTTCAGATTATTTTGAGTTTGCAGTTTGAAAGATGTGTTTTACATGCACAAACGTATACTGATAATGCTTAAAGGAATGGTATTTTAATTTTCGAAAATGAAAATTTGCTGAAAATTAGCTCAGCCTCATGGATCCTCTGCAGTGAATGGGTGCCGTCGAAATGAGAGTCCAAATAGCTGATATAAAATAATCCACAAGTAATCCCACACCACTCCAGTCCATCAATTAATCTCTTGTGAAGCCAAAAGGTGTTAAGTTTTTAACTTAAAATCATTGTTTTCCGGGTAAAATACAAGACCTCTATCCATAATGTTGCTTTCTCCAGTGGCAAAATCGTCTCATCTGAATTAGGAGAGAAATCTGCACAGATCAAGCACTGTTTACAAGTGAAAACAGTCTAAAACAAATACGTCAGTGGGCTTTGATATGAGAGGACAACAGGGGATGGACTTTTTCACTGGAGGAATTGTTAAGGATAATGGTCTTGTTTTTTGGCCAGAAGTGACTGTTTAAAGTTAAGTCTTTATGATGGATTTGTTAATTACAATCATGCAGTTTTTCACTTCACAAGATGTTAATTGGTGGACTGGAGTGGTGTGGATTATTGTGATGTTTTTATCAGCTGTTTGGACTCTCATTCTGACGGCACCCATTCATTTTATATGGTAGAAGAGAAATGAATTAAAATTCTCATTTAAACCCAGTTTTCGTGTTATCTGTTTATTGATTTTAATAGTTGATGCTGATAGTTGTTTATTGACAGTTTATAGACTGAATTTTTCTGATTTGCTTTGTTAGCTTTACAAGCACGTTGTTCAGATCGTGGAGAAGTTCATCAAGAGGGTATGTAATAAACAATATACTGACGTTCTTGTACTGATGATCGTTGTTATGGGAAGGTAAAGACTGACTGTGTTTTTATTTTTTCCATCAGTGTAAACCAGACCTAAAGGTTGCTGGTCTGTATGTGGTCGACTCAATTATCCGACAGTCCCGCCATCAGTTCAGCACAGACAAAGATGTGTTCGGTCCGAGGTTTTTGAAAAACTTCACACTTACTTTTCAGAACCTTTTCCAGTGCCCCGCTGACGATAAGGTACTGAATAATTGCCTCCAGAATTTAGAGTTGAAATTACGTTGAAATGTTTCTGTGCTGGTGGATTTTATTGGTGGGTTTTGTTTGTTGAAATGTAGGGGAAGATATTGCGTGTGTTGAATCTGTGGCAGAAGAATGACGTGTTCAGCATGGACATCATTCAGCCGCTGTTAGACATGGCCACAGACTCTGTACTACCCGTTGTGGAGAATGGAATCCCAGCTGCCGGTAAATAAGAAAAAGAATTAAATGTTGGTTTATGTCATTATGCTTTACTCTCTAGGTTTTGTATCAGACCTTTTGAGTCAAAGTCTTTAAATTTACACTACCGTTCAACAGTTTGGGGTTGGTAAGATTTCTCTCCAAGGCTGCATTTATCTGATCAAAAATACAGTAAAAACTGTAATATTGTGAAATATTTATATAATTCAAAATAACTGTTTTGTGCTGTAATATATTTTAAAATGTAATTTATTCCTGTGCTGAAAAGTTGAATATTCAGCATTGTTACTCCAGTCTTCAGTGTCACTTATCAATGTTGAAAACCGCTGTGCTGCTATTTTTTTTTAGGATTCTTTGAATGGAAAGTTCAAAACAACTGCATATTTGAAATAGAAATCTTTTGTAACATTATAAATGTCTTTACTGTCAAATTTGATCAATATAATGCATTTTTTGCTGAATTTCTTTCAAACACAAAAAAAAAATCTTACTGAGCCTGAACTTGTGAATAATACTTGACTGTAACCCGTATCCTATTCAAACTAACAGCCTGTTAAACTGCAGTTTTCATCTTTTTTTGTAGCGCCTCCAGCCATGCCAATGGCAGTGCCAGAGCCAGAGCCGGCGCCGGCACCAGCTGTTGCAGCGGCCCCGCCCACCCTTCAGAACCCAGTGGCCCTTGCTGCAGTCGCCCAGCTCCTCCAGGGCACAGGGGGCGTCGAGGTAAAACGACACTCACTGCACTCAAATACAGCTTTCTTTATGAAAAACGGTTGCGCTGAAGTAGACTTGATTATTCCTGTTACAGATTATTGAGCATAAGATTTTGTAGGAGTGCAAAGGAGCAACCAGGCACACTAAAAAAATATGACTTTTTAGAAATTGTAAATAAAACCAAGATTATTGGAGTATGTTGTAGAAAATACTGTTTCAGTCTTACTACTTTAAAATGTCATTTTTAAATTCAAAGGATTGTTGTTTCTTTGTAATTATTTGTGAAATTTACTAGCAGTTTCTGAGTAAAAACTATTTCAAAATGCATTCATTAATCCAAGATTATTGGAGTATGTTGTAGAAAATACTGTTTCAGTCTTACTACTTTAAAATGTCATTTTTAAATTCAAAGGATTGTTGTTTCTTTGTAATTATTTGTGAAATTTACTAGCAGTTTCTGAGTAAAAACTATTTCAAAATGCATCCTATAGAGTGCACATTTTTTTGTTTTTTTTCTCGTCTAGCTGTTAGAGATGCTTGACTTCCTCCATAGTGTTCATGAAATGTACTACAATTTGCATTAGCAGGCTGAAATTTCACTTGTGCAGTGTTATCTTTTTGAAATAAAATAAAATGGAAATATAAGATACGAAACTTATTACAGTTAATTGTAAAGGCAACATTCTAATTTTCATTTAAGTTGAAGTATTAAAATTTCTAGAATTAAAACTGAAACAAAAATAAATTAAAGCTATACAGAAATATACAAAAAAATAATAATAAAAAATGACAAATCATGTAAAAATTTTAAAACAAACAAAACTTTTAATGAAAATATATAATAATCTAAATAATACTAAAATAACACTGCTTGTGCGGCCACTGAAATATTTATATTTTGATATTTAATCTGCTATGTGTGTTTCATTTACAGCAGCTGCTCCAAACTCTCCAGCAGGCCGGAGGGGCGGGGCTTCCTCAGTCCACTGCCCCGCCCCCTGAGCAGAAAACATCATTAGCTAAGGTAAGCAGTCAGTCAAATTGATGCTTTACAACCATTTTGACATTACCCATACATCCTGATTGATATGTCTGGTAGTGTTGTCAAAAGTACTGACGTCGGTACTGAAATTTAAAAAATGTGACAATATCAGCATTTCCCACTAGCATTTTGAGTGCTGTTGAACGGCTTCTTAAACAGCTCTGATTGGCCATTGTGTTCACACGCTCAACAGATATGTCTGTGATTGGCTACAATGATCATCGCTTCCACAGATACACACGGGAGCATTTGAAAGCTGCATCTATCAGAGGATCCTTAATATATCTGCTCATAAACGGATCCGCTGATAACAAACGGCAAATGCTGGTATCGTCACATTTTTCAAATTTCAGTACCGATATCGGTACTTTTGACAACACTAATGTCTGGTTAGGGAATGAATAGAGTGGAATCTGGAAGATAACAGCCTATCTCCCTGTTCTTATGCAATATAGAAACCACAGAGTGAACACTTGGTTTGGAGCTATTAATTCTGTAACATTGTGTTTCTGGTTTGACTCAGTCTCTGCTGGATCGATTTGATTATGATGATGACCCCGAACCTGTGGAGGAAAAGACTGAACCAGCTCCTGCTGCTCCCATTACCATGTAGGGCATAATAAACTCATTTCTTTCTGTTCACATATGGTGAAATATCATTTAGTTTTTTTTGCAGATATTGATTTAATATTGTCATTCTTTACAGAAACCTTCCCCCAGAATTACAGCAAGCCCTGCAAGCTCATCTTCTAAGCCAAATTGTTAGCCAGGTATTTACTCTGACCTACTGAGCTTAAAGAATAAGGACATGACAAAAATAATGTATGCAATCAAATGGTTTCTTCCTGTCCAGACGCAGATGCAGGGTCAGATGGTGTCGCAGAGTCAAGTGGCATCCCAGGGTCAGGTGGCACCTCATGAGTTCCCAGTGATAGTTCAGACCCAGATACCAGATAACACTCCTCAAGTCTTTGATGAGAGCGTCATACAACCCAGTACAACCCAGCAGCTACAGCAGGTATGGGGCGTCATCTCTATAACTTCACCAGATATTAACATATCTCATAAGTAGAGCCCGACCGATATATAGTTTCGCCTATTTTATCGGCCGATATGAGCATGTGGCAGATATATCAGTATCGGCCAATATGCCGCCGATATGCCACCGATATGAATTTTTTTTTAAACAAAATGCAGATAAAATGCTTGTAAATGGTGTAATTACGTAGTTTGTCCAGCGCTCCATTGTTTGCTACTGGCGACCTGGATGAAACGCTTTAAAGCAGTGGTCGCCAACCCGTCGATCGCGATCCCGAAAATAACAGTAAAATAAGTACAAAAATGCATTACATTTCTGGGGTTATATTAATGTATCACTAAAGGGAACTGTCTTGAGAAAAGTTTCGATGGCAATGGCATTTTCTTCTCCGTATAAAGCGCAGCTCTGCGTTGTTTACAGCGGTAACCAAGGAAACGCTATATTGCAGTCGGTTCATATGCAGTGTTGCCAAGTCCGCGGTGTTCCCGCGGAATTGGGCTACTTTAACACTGTTGCCGCGGGTTGTTGTTCATGTCCGCGGGTTGAAGCGACCCAAATAACGTGATATTTAGCCCCTGGAATGTGAATTTTACTGGAAGATCCCCGCCGAAAAACGTGCATTGGACTAGTTTTATTGGGAAAACCTGGCAACCCTGTTCATAAGCGCCACCTGCTGTCAGAGAGTGCGTCTCATTCAGACCTGCTGTTTTTGTTTCGTGCAGATGTTTTATGTAGCAAATAAATAAATAACACCTAAAGTCAGACCATTCTGTTTTTGTTTTAAATCCTGAAATTAATCTAAATGAAATCAAAAACAACTACCTTGCAGATCGTGATTGAAATGCAGTGGTTGCCTCTAATTTCAAATGGCTAGATATTTTTGTTTAAAGCCAGTTTGTTTGTTATAAAGCAAATAGCCAATAAATGAATTTGCTTAAATATCAGTATCAGAATCAGCTAATTTGCTAGTTTAAAAAAAAGAAAGAAAAGAAAATCTGAATTCTGAATCAGCTATGACCGGCGCATCTTCTGTAACGGCACGGCGGATCCGCACCACATTCGGGGGATCCCTTCAGCTCGAGGAACCCTCTCGAACGCCGAATCGAGTGTACACTAGGGCTGCAAGATTATGACAAAAATTACAATTGTCGATTATTCCCTTGAAATTGTAATTGCGATTATTAATTACGATTATCACAATTTACATTGAATGATGTTTATACCATTGTTTAATGCAACTGAATGGCGTATTTTTATATGAAAATAAACAAGCTGAAAACACTCTGACTGAAAAACTTTTAGTGCTTTTCTATAGTATTAAGCCGCAAATGTCAACTATACTGTACATCGGATTGGTTTTTTCTTTAAATTATAACAAAGTAAAAATATGAGTGGTATTATAATGTTATACTAAAACTAAAATTAAAATTATGGGAAAAACCCTTAAGATAACATGTAGAAAGAAAAAAATGCATCTTAAGCACGCAGAATAACATAAGTGGACTTTGAACGATTAATTGCCACTTTGAACGATTACGTAATTGTGCCATCCATATTTGTAATTGCGATTAGAAATTCGATTAATTGTGCAGCCCTAGTGTACACCTCGAGGCCCCCTTTCGAATGAGACCACTGGGGGCTGTAAAAAAAAAGTGAATTTCGAGTATTCGTCTGATTTAAAATAAAAATCCACATTCGAATGCAAAAACGTTGCATTCGAATTTTAGGTGTGCGTCAGACAGCCTTATCAGTGGCGCACGAGATGCAATGACAATGTATAGTGTCGTTGCATCAGTGTTTCCCAACCGGGGTGCCGCCTGTTGAGAGCAGGGGTGCCGTGTAAAAAATCCTTTTAAAATATTTTTAAATTGCTAAAATGTAAAAAAAAGAGCATCTAATATATGTAATATCCATTTCTGATGTCGCCAATAATTAGAGATGCACCGAAATTAAATGTTCTGAGGTGAAAAACTTCAAAAGAATAAAGTTGAATGGACTGAATTGAAATAAAGTTGAATAAACTTCTAAGTGCACTGATGTCAGACTCATTTTGGATAATGAAGTTTATTGTTAAATTGTCAAATGCCCTCCTCCATTACATATCTTTGTCAAGTGTTTGATCACCACATTTGAGTGATCATTGCAAAAAATGTTTATATATATTCTGTTTATGTATATACTGTATTCTATATATAGTACCAGTCAAAAGTTTAGACACACGAATGGGAAAGTGTCCTGTACTATAATATACACAAAGAATATCAGGCCATATATCGATATCTGCCTTTTTTTACTCCCTAATATCGGTATCGGCCCCCAAAAAAACCCATATTGGTCGGGCTCTACTCATAAGTCAAAATGTCCTCACCAGTCCAAGTAGAGCTCTTATTGAAACTTAAATGAAATAAAAATGTAAATTTTTTTTTTTATTCTGTTTTAATGGTTTCATTTTAGTAATCAAAAAGGATATACAATTAAACTCAAACTTTTACAGTTTAACAACAGTTTATAAAAAATGTAACAAATTTATGAGTGTTTTTCTTATTTAAATGTCAGGATTCCGCTTTAATGGTTTAATAATCATTAAGCATGTCTGGTCAATTGAATTCATGAAACTTTAACAATTTGAAAATTTATCGACATTTTTGCCATAAGTTTTTTTTTTTGTTGTTTTTCTATGTTGTCAGTTTCAGTGTTTCTGTATTTATGATTTAATACAAATTTATTATCAAAACTGGTGGTAATCAAATCAAGCCATAAAACATTAACATTTTAATTAACCTTTTAAAATTTAATTATTGCTATTTGATAAGGTGTATAGCCATACTTTATTCATTAAACATTTGCCAAATTCTGTGACATTCCGTGTTATACAGTAAATTCCATTTTTATGACTGTATTCTGTTATTATCTGTATTTTCCGCATCGTGGAAATTCATAGGGCCATATGTAAATGCTAAAATGACTCGTTCTGAACTTTGACTTTCTGACTCGCATCAGTTAGGCTAAAATCGCTTACAGTATGTCTTTGACTCATCATTTCAGGCTTCAGCTGAGACCGAACGCTCAGTGCATGATGGAAGAGATCGTAGACCCAGCAGACGGACGAGATCAAGGTGTGTTTCACGAAGGGTCTTGAACTTAAAGTCTCTTAAAAAGATTGCCGTTTAATTTTTGAATGGTGTGTCTTTCCAAGGTCTCCACGGAGACGATCGTCATCACGCTCACGAAGATCACGGTCCGGTTCACGTTCCCGCCGAGAACGGTCGAGGTATCACCGTACACGCTCCCGATCCAGAGAGCGTCGAGGCCGTTCCCCACAGGCGCGATCTGAGGAGAGGAGAGACAGGGAGAAAGAGCGAGAGCGGCGACAGAAAGGACTTCCGCCTGTCAAGAAGGAAACTCTCAGTGGTGAGAGCACCACCTTATCTTATAATTGTGTTTTACTACAGTGAAGTCTTACTACAATTATTTTAAACATGAAAAAGAATGTGTAGCTGTCTTTTTTAAGCACTAATAAGTTTTAGGTGTCATCTTATTGTTATTGTACTGATTTGCTGTTCAGGAGTGTTTTTGTTTGTTTGTTTTAGTGTGTAGTACTACACTATGGATCGGACAGCTGGACAAAAAGACTCAGCAGCAGGACATCATGAGTCTGATGGAGGAGTTTGGACAGATCGAGTCCATCAATGTATGTATAGATCAATCATATCAATGCACATCACTGTTAAAAAGTTTGGGGTCAACACAATATTTTTATTTATTCAGAGAGGATGCATTAAATTGATAAAGTAACAGTAAAGTAATTTATATTGTTACAAAAGTAAATAAATGTCTCTTGAACTTTCTATTCATCAAAGAGTCCTGAAAGAGAGTGTATCACAGTTTCTAAAAAAATATATAGCATCACAACTGTTATAAAACATTAATAATGATAAATGTTTCTTGAGCAGCAAATCTGCATATTAGAATGATTTCTGAAGGATCATGTGATACTGAAGACTGTAGTAATGATGCTGAAAATTCAGCTTTGGTCACAGGAATAAATTACATTTGGAAATGTATTCAATTAGAAAAGTTATTTTTAATTGTAATAATATTTTACATTATTACTGATTTTACTGTATGTATCAAATGAATGCAGTTGGTGAGCATGAGACTTTTAAAAACAAAAAAATCTTACTGACCCCAAACCTTTGAGTGGTAGTTCATAAAGCATTATAGGCATCACATGTAGAGAAGGCAGTCCCAAAATGCATTGCATTTTTATGTGTATTTCAATATGGTTTTGTTCGCTTATCCACATATTATTTTTAAATGTTGTATATGAGGCTCAGATAGGTCTCTTACATAGTTCAATTTTATATAGGATGCAGCTGCCTATGTAGTTTACGCTGAAACACTCAAACCAGGTAAACACCACATATTTCTTTAGCTTCTAGTACATTCTTTAATCATGCTTTTTCGTAGGACTTGACATGAATGTATGTGACATTTGTTTTTAAAATAATTTTTTAATTTGATCTTTAGAGTGGAAAAGTTTTGTGGCCAATCCGGCTGTGCCAGTAACGGAAGGACCTGAAGGAAAACAGGAAGACGGAGCTGCACTACCAGCGGTATCACAGGTAAAATACGAGGGGTTTCCTACAGAACTCCTCAAGGGCGTTCAGTGTCTCGGTCAATTTTTCTGCTCTCATCTTTTCACGTCTTCGACATATGGGAGGCAAACAATGTTTCTGTGTTCTTTGCTTTGCACTGACGCTTTACTGGTGCAGGGTTGCCATCATTTCTGGCAAGTGAAGAGCCATAGAGCACAAAATAAAACAAGGTTAGTGTCATGACTGTCTAGTTTTCTTTCCGTGTTTCAGTGGCATCGCTTTCAATGACGAATTTTGTCACAACACGGTCACTGCTGTTCTGAAGTAGAGCTGATTTTGCTTAAATGTGTGTCTATATTGAACATTCCATGACGTTTGACGTTTTGCACACAGTCTCAAAGGCTCTTCTAAATCTGTCGTATATGTTTTGGATGGACTAGGTTGCTTTTTAAGAAACTTTTGATACATCGTTGTTTGATATGACTTACAAATGTTTTGTTACTTTGCTGCTTAAATGAATAGTTACCCCTCCAAAAAAAAATTTGCTGAAACTTTATTCACCTTCAGGCCATCCAAGATGTAGATGAGTTTGTTTCTTGTACTTATTTGGAGAACTGTAGCATTCTATCACTTGCTCACCAATGGATGCTCTGCAGTAAATGGATGCCGTCAGAATGAGAGCAATGAAAACATCACAATAATCCACAAGTAATCCACACCACTCCAGTCCATCAATTAACATCTTGTGAAGTGAAAAGCTGCGTGTTTGTAAGAAACAAATTGGCTGTTATCAGCTGTTTGGACTCTCATTCTGACGGCACCCATTCGATGCAGAGGATCCGTTGGTGAGCAGGTGATGTAATGATACATTTCACCAAATCTTTTTCCATGAAAAGAAATACTTATCTTGGATGGCCTGAGAGTGAGGACATTTTCAGCAAATTTTCATTTTTGGGTGAACTATTCCTTTAAATTGAACAGATGCAAATGACTATATTTGATCTAAAACTCAATTTTTAGTAAATTTAATTTGCCAACTTCAGATTTGACCCAAATTTGACTATTTGCGAAACAAGAACAGCGTCAGCGAGCAGTACGGTACCACAAGCTCTAAACGGAAATAATAATATACGGAAGCCCAAAGAGAACATACAATATTAAAGGGGTCATATGATGCTGCTAAAAAGAACATTATTTTGTGTATTTGGTGTAATGAAATGTGTTTATGCGGTTTAAAGTTAAAAAAACACATTATTTTCCACATACTGTACATTATTGTTTCTCCTTTATGCCTATGTTTCTTATGATCTTGACACGAAAACAAGTTTTCTTGACAAAAAGTATTAAATATAACAGTAATGAACTGCCTCCAGATAACTTGCCAACATTAAAACGGCTGTCATTCTCATATAATTAGCCCTAAATAGTATGATTTCCATTGTTTAGTTACTGTATAAAATGGAACACACACAAAGAGAGTGCCTTATAAATAAATGAACTTTATCAGATGGATTTAAATTGTAATCTATTTTAAAGAGAATATGTGCTGTGAGCACAACAGGGGTTGGTACATGGGGTGTTTCTCTTCAGATGGCTGAAGTGTCTGACCAGTAGAAACGGTTTACTGTTCGATGCTGTATCTAAATGACGTTCACTGGCACCTCACATGCATGCACTCCATAACACACTGAAGCTCATAGAGGTGGCCAGGAACCAAAGGTTTAGCAGTCACTTTTATAGGAAAACCACAATTTTGGTGCATCACTGACTGATTTAGGCAGAAGGCGGAAGAACAATTGCTGGGAAAACGCAAAAGAGGACAACAGGTGGGTTCAGGAAATGCAAGGAGAATCAATCATAGACAGTTTAATACTGGTTTATTTGAGTTTTATTTAACTGTAAAAAAAAAAAAAACTTTAGATTGTCAGATTAAGACTTTTGCATTTAGAGTAAAATGTTTGCAGCTGGTGAATTAGTAATTGTAAATAAAGGTGGCAACCTACTCAAATGCATTTATTATCATTTAAAAAAAAAAAATTATAATTCTAAAAAAAAAACATTTCTAGCTTCACTACAAGCTAAAGCTACTTCATACTTGTTTTTTTTAGTAATGTGAAATATGTAAAGCTGTCATTTGTGTATACAAGTGTGTTTGGAAACGGAACAAGAAAAGGTGCATCTGAAACTTTTTTACACATCTGTGTGTGTCTTGAGAAAATTAAGAAATCAAGATGGAACATGTAGATAAGGTCAAAAACACCTCTGAAAAGGGTCAAACTTTCAAACCGCAATCAGTAGCGAATAACATTATGAGCTTGCATTGAACCTAATGAAGACCCTCGTTATTGGCAAATGTTGGAATGCATTTGTAGGATTGGTTTCAGCTGTCGTTATTTTTGCGTATCATCCAGTGCTGTTTTTGATCTCTGTGCTCTTAAGTATCTTATTGTTAACTCCTGAACCACGCTGACGTGTTCAGTCTGTGAATGGTCTGCCTGATTCAGTGATTCACAAACGCACTTATACTGACTGATTTGACTGATACATTGTACAGACATACAAGAATGATTAGTTTACAAATATATTATTTGCTAGTCCTGGTTTTGTCCAGAAGACCGAGAAAATGGGCAAACATTTTTAGGCAAAAACAACGATTGGAAAGAACTTCTTAAACTGTATTAATCTTAAATCAACAAATTCTTAAGGCAAGACACTACAGGTGACTATGGTAAAAATATGAAACAAATGTTGTCTAAAGTCAGGCGAATGATATATGAACAACCCCCTCTGTAAACACCTTAAGAATATAGATAGAAATGAAGCTGTAAAGTTTGGTGTATGTAATTGCTACTGAAGTGGAGATTTCTGGCTCGGTGCATGAGAATCTCATTTTGAGGAAACGGTATGTATCGTAATAGAAACCTGCAGACTCAAGTGGATGAAGTGTAATTAACACTTATTTAGTTTTTTAGGTGTTTAGTATGCAGTGTCTTGCCTTAATCAATTAGAGGCCTCAGTACTGTAAAGCTTCATGATCTCTATCACCTTGCTACTGAGAAATGTAGTTCAAATAATAGCAGTGCTTGTGCCCAGTGGTAAAGTTCCCTAATGGTTTTCCACTGGTAACTTCAGTCTGGTGTGTGGTTTTCAAAACCGTTAAACAGGTTTTAACACAGACATTAGGCTCTTGGTTTAAAAACAAGTTGTTAGTAAAAATAAACCTTTGTTCAAACTGAACTTTCAAAAATAGTTCTTTATTGGCAACTGTGGTTCCTTGAAGAACCTTTAACATCTTTCCATTGTGCAAAAGGTTATTTATAGTTGAAAAAGTTCTTCAGATTATTAAAATGTTCTTCGCACTAAGTTAAACCTTCATTTAAACCAGTGGCTCTTAATTCCAGTACCACGGCACTATACATTTTGTATGTCTGCCTGGTTTGGTATCACTTGATGCGAATCATGTGTACATAAGGTAGACATACCAAATGTTTAGTTTATTCTTCACATAAACTAATGTCCATAAACTCGTCGAACAGCCCAGAAGCGATTTGTTCAAACTAATGACGGAGCATTTGAAATGACACATCGGCCATTTGTATTGAGAGCTCTTCTGTGCTTCTGCTCTTCTTGAATGGAGTGAAATCACCAGTTTTCTCCAGTGGACTCACAAAGGTGGTGCTGGATTTTGGATGTCCATCTGCTTTGCGGTTCTATGAAGAACTCCAGTGCTGGGAAGGTAAATGATCATTGATTTCAGGACAGTAGATGTTAGCTGAGCTTCACTCAGCCACAAACACACGGAAAGGTAATGGCTTAATGCCAGGATGAATGAAGTTTCCCATTTGCTCTAAACTAGTTTAGTGAAATGTTTGGATTTTCCACTTTTGAAAATGGCAAAGCAATGCATGCATTGCAAAACTTTTAAATGGCATTTTCGTTGTTCAGCCAGTTGGATTCAAATCGGAGTATGAAATGCGTACACCTTATTGTCGAAACCGCAGCAATGCGTAGAATGGAGAGATGGAGCATAATCTCTGCTGATCTACCACAGCGATGGCCTTGTGTACCTGTGGATTGAGTCTTTCATGATGCAGCATCACCAAATGGTGATTGGTTGGAAACGGCTGGAATCATTTTGGTCGGGGCAACCAGGATGTCTGATATTCTGGAGTGTCTGCTCTCTTTCCTCGAAGGAACCAGAGATTTGGTAAGGTGAAATTCTCTTTTACTTGACTTCGGTCCAACCACGGTTTTAGGCCATGTGTTAACAGCGTTTTGTTGCGTTTTTCTTACTCTCTAAATATGTGAAATTACAGAAAACATCTTTTGTGCTGATCTGTTCAAAGAGTTTAGTCTTAACTCTGATTGACTGACGAAGTATCAAAATCTTTTCTGCTGAGCAGCAAGTGTTGACAGCAAGTCTAAACTGCAGTTTAAAAAACGGCATCAGTGGTTCCATGAAGAACCGTTAACATCCATGGAACCTTTCCATTACACAAAAGGTTCTATAGAACCTTTCAGTTCTTAAGATTTTTAAAATGTTCTTCACACAGAAAAAAGGTTCTATTAAAGGGGTCATATGATGCTGCTAAAAAGAACATTATTTTGTGTATTTGGTGTAATGAAATGTGTTTAAAGTTCAGAAAAAAAGGGCCAAAATTGTACCTTTTGTCTATTTCAGATAAATGCTGTTCTTCTGAATTTTCTATTCATCAAAGAAACCTGAAAAATAATCGAATCTGTTTTCAACATAAATGTTTCTTGAGCAGCAAATCAGCATATTAGAATGATTTCTGAAGGATCATGTGACACTGAAGACTGGAGTAATGG